GCTACTTTACAGTATTCATTTTCTGATGAATTTATATCTCAGGTCTACCTGAAGCCAATATTTAATGTGAAAAAATAGCCTTAGTTCAAAGCATACTGCACAAAAACGAAAGTGACAGACATGTTAATTTTTTCTCCAATTTTTGTAGAATTATCTGGAACATTTAAAGTTATAGAGAGATATGCCTATTTCAATTAATGACACTAGCATCCTATGGAAATCATTTTATCTTCAGTATATTTTGTAATAAAGTACATTCAAAAAAATTCAGAAATGTAATTTTTTTAAAAATATAAATAATCTAGAAGGGTTAGGATTCTAGCAGTAAGATTATTTACACTAGAGACTGCTTTACAAAATGGTTTTAAGAAACAGCACAAAGTTAACTGTATATTCAATATGAGGCCTGTTAACCCTATCTGCTACATACAGTTACTAAACTCATCAGAATTACTTTTGAAATTTGGCTCTTGGTTCTCAGTGGTGGTAGATGATCCATACAGTCTTACATCATCTGAGATACAGCTTTTCAAATAATAACAAACTAGACATCTTTGCCTAGCATCAGCAAATTGTAATACCCCCCCCAAAAAAATCACATTCCATTGAATTATTATAACGTCACTTAGCTAAGAACACTTACTTCCCACTCTTTTTTCTTATGCCTATCCAATATTTTCTGATGGAATTGAGGATTATATTCATTAGAAAAGAGAAATACTGAGAACACCACTTCCTAACAATTACATGCAATGTGAACAGCTGCAAATAGTTCTCATGACACTAACTTTTAAAACATCAGTGATTAAAAACTTCTAAAGATTTACTAGCTTACTCTATTCTAGATATATTTCAGAGTGATTTTTAAAAAGATTTTCAATATTGAAGTATACTTTCCATATTTGTGGAAAGTATACTTCACAAACTGCTAAATTAAAAATAAAAGCATCTAGTAAATTGCCACTTTGAAAATTTAAAAATGTACCTTGTTACAGTAAGCAAGTATCCTATATTTGGGGAAAAAAAAAATGCAAAAAGATATGTTTAAAAGAGTGTTAGTATTAATATTACTTGGTGTTAGTAAAAAAGAAAGAAGAGAAAGCTATATCTAATTTAGCTGGTTTTCAGAGGCTGTTTTCTGACCTTCAATACTTTTTACTGAGTATTTCAGATTGTTTTCCTCTCCACTATCAGCATGATAGTAACCCAAAAGAGAAATACAAGAATTAATAATTAAGTCCACAAACTTAAGACCCCTTACCCTCTGGACTTTTTAAGGCTCCTCTTGCTTCGCAGTGTTACAGAGACATGCATAAACAACAGAATTTCCTGCATCCTTTTCTCATCTGCACAGTATTGGGATTTGGCCAACAGTATTATTTACAACCTTAAGGCCACTCCATACTAACTTGAAAATGACTCCCATTGGCCAGGCTTTATCAAAACTAAAATCAAAATATTTTTCTTTTATGAAGTAGTCATTTATCCAACAAATTGTTATGCCATATAGCCCTTTGCTCAGTATCCCTTTCTTCAATTTTTATTCCTTTGTAGCTTTCAAAACTGAAGACTATGACCCCTGCCTCCTAAATATTATGCACAAGCTAAAATTAATTGTTCTAATCCCAGTAATTAAGCACATGCACAATACTGAACCATACTTTGTGGATTCTTATGCTATCCCTCAATCCTATACAGATCTCCTGAGTTTTAAATAATTGATGGTATTTCCCTCTGGATGACTATCATCTAGCTAGCACATGTATTTTCATAATTAACTATGTAATTAATCAGACATTATGCAAATTTCTAATTTAGATTGTCATTGTATAAGAACACAGCAAGGAAAAATTGAAAAAATTAGGAGCTCATTTCTGAAAAATGAAATAGTTTTCATTAATGTTGAGGGTTGTTGTATTAATACAAAAGATAAGAAGCTCTTCTTCAAATAAGCACACACATTTATTGCAGTTGACATGTAACAATGCATGATGCCTCTGGTGTTCTGAAATTGATACTACAGGCCAACTACATGGCAGGTCCTAGAGGTATTAAACTGAATCATCTCATATAGCTCACACTATATTTGCCGTAGCTTTGGAAAGCTTAATATTCTCAGTTACAAAAATCTTATTATATTCTTTGCCAGGATTTCAGACTGAGAAGCCAGAGTTCCTTACACATAGCTTTAAGGAACAAAAGTCTACTCCCCTATTAATAGATGCTGAAATATTAATAACAATAAAGTAGTCTTTTCATCAAGAGTCGCAGCTATAGACGCAAGACTTCACTTAAGAGCATTCTCTGACAGTACATATATTTTGAAGAAATGAACATACCTGTCCTCCCACTCCCATCAACAACGCAGGCATAATATGGCACCCACAATGCAAATACTCTACTGCACTGACTGCAGACAAAGGGCACTCAGTTAACAAAAATAAAGCGGGGGGGAAATTAGATATTCCTATGAATATAAAAAAAGTTTAAAACCTGTATCAAATTAAAAGAAGTTAAAGTAACTGTTGTCTTATTGTATCTTCAATGGCTCTTCCTGCAGCTGCATCTCATATCCCACTGGAATATTCTCCAATAACTTCACCCATCCAGTCCTCAAGTACAAATCAATTCCATTTTTTTCACCCATAGTAAATAAAACCTCAAAAATTACCTATAAAATAGTTTTCACTAGGAAGCGTTACTGTGTATACTCAATAGTCAAATAGCAGCGACTTCTGCAAGATCTTCAAACACTGTAAATGCAATTATTGAGCTTAAAATTTTTATTTATGTATTTTTTTAGAGGATATAAAACATAACAGTATCACTTTGGCATTACCATTCTCACTAATGGGAACAATTTGTGCCTTCAACATTTTGAGTTACAAAATTTGGCAATATTGAAAGCGTTATGTTACTAATAAAAAGAGTATTTTCATTTACATTTCAGATGGTCTGGATTTCATCTCTATCCATTTCAGTAAAGGAACTCTCATAATTATATCTTTAAACCAGCAGATTATAAAAAACACACAAACAATTTTGTGTGTTTCTGATTTTTTCTTATAGTCCAAAGACAAGATGAACATTGGCTGCATTCAGATGGTGAAACTTTCTTACAGCAGTGCTTATAGGCTTACAACAATTAAAGAGGACATAAAAAGTATGAATATATTTAAGACCTTGTGCCATGCTCTTGTGATGACTTTAAGTCAATTACCCCTACTCAAGATTAAATCAAAATTCAAATCACAGTGTGGTTTTTGTTTGCTGTTTTTTTGGAAGCGATCAATGTACTATTTTTCTCATTTTCTCATTCTCTCAGGAATACAATCATTTCATCTTACTGTACTGTTAAGTATTACGAAAAATACACTTTTGGATAATTCAACAACAAACTTTAGTTTACAACACTTTTGTCAGTTAGCAGACCAATTAGAACTACAGGAAGATCCATATTTGCAAGCTTTTGCTCTATTGTTTGGTGTTTGTTTTTTTTTTTTCTCCAACCTGACATGGTTGCAAAAAAATCACCATAGTTTCAAAGTAAATATTATTAATCATCTAAGACTATCAATACAAATGTGAATGAGACACTGCCATGAAGTTATATACAAACTACTCCCAAAATTATGGAGAAGTATAGAAAAATAACTTGGTCTGGGCAGAGTGTCAGGGAAATGTCTTGAGTTAAATTGTAATGAAAAAAATTACTTATCAATTACTGTAGAAGGAACAGCATATGTGGATATACTCAATTATAATCTACAAGTATTATACCATTCTATATCCAATAATTGGTTGTGGGAAAAAAAAAAAAAAAAAGGTTGACATTAGTCTAAAGACAACAATATTTAAAATAGAATTAAATTGCTCTCTCATTAAAGTACTTTGTCCAATCTGTGTTTCTTTATGTGTAGTCTCAAACCCATCTCTATTTAACTGCCAGTAGTAGTCTGAAGTGATAAACACCCACTGCAAAACCAAGCGTTAAGATCATCGCAAGTCTCTTCCATCTAAGATAGTGCTAAAGAAATTTTGTTTAAAAAAATCATTGCATAATCCTTCACTAAGGAGAAGCCCCTTGGTAAGTTGATCTATTCTAACTGCATACAACTGCCCAAAAGGTTAACACATACTGAATTGACTGCAGTTGTGTTAACCTGATATCTACATTCAGCTCCAGGAAAGTTACTAGTATTACCACTATAGAATTTTACTTTGATAACTATATTCACTGGGGGGGGGGGGGGGGGGGGGGGGAAGACAATTGGAGATATGAATGAGTATATTGAGTCCAGTATTTTCCATATTAATGAGACTACTTTCTCAGCAATGTTAGTTTTCTGATCTTTTTACTGAAAAGGAAAACGACATTTCTTACTACTTGCACTTTGGGCTTAACATGTGCTTTTGTCATTTTCAAAAGACCGAAGTGTATAACAAAAATATCTACTCTCTCAACACTTTCACATTTTAACTTCATGTTCTTCAGTAGCAAACTGCTCAGTAGAATTACTCCAAATAAATTTTCTATCAGTAAATTGCTTAATCTTATTCTTTTTCTAGTGTTAGCATTTTGTCATGCTAACATGCATGGCAAAAATGGAAAGATGCATTTTCTCAACATCCAGGCCCCTATCACTGATAAGTCAAACATACACTAACATTCTGTACCGTTTAACTTGTTCTAAGCTGATGGCACAGATTTCTCCAAAACTAAAAGACAGTAATGTAAGAAAGTGGCAGAATAAAAGCTGTCATGTATCAACTTCTAGTTACGTAACTAAGACAAAATGTGAGAAGCTATAAAGTAGTTTTCCAAAATCTAAAATACTACTGACAATCCCTTAACTATTGGGATAGTTAAAAGTGAGAACAACATAAAGAGTATTAAGGGAAGCTAAAAAAAAAAATTAATGTAAGCATCTCAAGTAAGGTTCCCTTCACATTTATAAAAGCTTATTCTTTTGTATTCTAAAATTTTATATTTTACTTACTGTGCAAGTGTCCACTCAAAAAAAGTATTCTTGGCAAATCTTCTCCACTTTTTATGCTAAATCTCTTCTCCTTGCTTAAGGAAAGTCATTGCTAGAGTTGAGAGATATCACTTTCTAAGACTGAAGAAGTCCATTTCTCCTCCCACCAGGCTTCTTCCATAAATTATCTACAGGAATAGAACTTCAACAACTGCTGAAAACTACGATGTTGTGAATTAAAACTATTCTTCAAAAACAGTTTTGCAGTGAGAAAAAAAAAATACGCAAGCAAATTCTGATACCAGGATTAGAAACTGAAACCACCAGTAAACTAATTTAATAACTTCTGCATTCTTAAATTATTGTTTTGTGAGGTATTTTTTCCCCTTTTTTTTTTCTCTCAGATGGGTAAGCCTTAAATCTAGTAGGGGCCTTAAGAGCTGAGTTGTTCAGCTTATTTACAAGCAGACTAAAAAAAAAAAAAAAAAAAGCTTGTTTAGTATCTAAGAAGGTGATCTGCCTTCACTTGTCAGAATGCAGCTAGGATTAGCATCCTTATGACTGCATTAGCCAAGAATTAAGCAAGTATAAGCTCCTAACACAAGTTTGAAATTTTCTAAATAACAATCTTGAAAAAAAATTGAAATAAATTAATTGCAGTAAGTTTAAAAAAAAACACCTTAGGGCTCAATTACTTTTTTCTTCTCCTCTCTCTCCATGCTCCAAGAAAGTAATGAAAGGAGTGAAAGTCAAATAAATGAAGTTTAATTTTATTTTATTTTTTACCTGTGTCAAGGTTTGGCCTGGCTTGGCTGGTTCTGTGACCAAGGGAACAAAGGGACCCATGCCCTAGAAATGTGAAAACGTAAGGAAATGGGCCTAGGAGGAAAACAGTAGCAACATGCTAAGAAAAATATTTACTAGATCTAATAGTGAAATGTGAGATAATACAATATAATACAATTGAAATTGAAGCTAATAAATAAAATGGGAGAGTTTCCAAAGCTGAAATCCTTACTCTAATGTTGTAGGCAAGATGAGTAGGGAAAATGGAGAACAAAAAAGCCAGTCTCATGATTCCCAGTCAGTTTTATCTTTCCCTCCAAATGGAAAATGGAAATGGAAAAAAAAAATAAAATAAGGTCTTCTGGGAGTTGTAGCTCATTCATTCTCTTCTGAAACAGAGACCGGAAATACTGACATTCGATGGAAATGCAGCATTAACTCTTTAATCCCCAGTGCACTGCATGATGCTATGATGTGGAATACAAAAATCATAAAACCATGACAAACTGTTTGGTAATGTTATGTATTACATAACCTATTGTAGCAGCTATTTATCATAATAAAAAGATTCAGTGACAATATGAATTTAGTTTTACTGATTAAAAACTTAAACTTACACATTTATATCTTTTTAATAGAAAATAAATGAAATCAAATCTAGATAGAATTGTGGAGCGATTATATCAAGTGAAAAGGAAATTATGATTTGACTTCACAAATAAATAAAACAAGAAACAGACCAAGAGAGTGTTAATGTGACATCTAGAAAAGCAGCTACAATTCTGCTCTCAGAACAGATAATAGAACAGCTTTTTCTACAAGAAAAAGAAAAAATGCCACTTTCAGTTAAATTTTCAGTACTAGCTTTTACTCAGATGGCAGTAAGTTACTGCTGAAGAAGCTAAACAGTAAAAATTCCAGAAGTCTTCATTTGACTAAGTATATCGGTTGGCAAATCTGAACTTCAGTGACTAATTGCTAACAGCCCCATAACTAGAATAATAGATATACAGAGAGACAGCTCATTTATTTTTCCTTTTTTCCATATGCACATACTATGTATTATGTACTTTACATAATATTAATAATACTATTAATAATAGTAATATTACACACGTACTATGTAATGGAATTACTTTTTTCCGCTGCAGCTGATGCCAATCCATTGAGGTTGTTCTGAAGAAGGCAACCTGTTAGTTTAAATTATGTGCAGTTTTAACAGTGTAATTACTCAAAAATGAACAAGTGCAGTCTCCTATTATATAACTTGTGGCTAAACTCTCTACTACAGAAGAAAACATACTCATACATACATTCTAGTTTATGATTAAAACAAACTTCCTGAAGGCTATATGTACAAATAAAGTATGTAAATATACAAGATATCAAATTAATAAAAAAATTTCATGATGCTGATATTAATATGATTTCATGCTGTAAAATACACTGATGAAATAAAAAAGATATCTTACTTTTGATGTGAACTTTATCTTCCTTACTGGAATTAATAAATTTTACCTCTTAGAAGGAGACAAATCACAGGTTACATAAAAGCAAACACACACTTTTGACATTAAGCTGTTCTTTAAATGAACCCAGATCTGTCATCTGGCTAGACATACCATAACTTCAGACTTAGAAATTTAAATGAAATTGTAGTACAACATGTTAACAAATTTTTCACTTTTAATGTCATACATATTTAGAATATAAGTACATAAGTGGCAGTGGCCCTCCAACATCAAATTATATAATTTCTGCATTAAAGACAACTTTGAGAGCAAGCTTGCTTTATCTTATGTAGAAGATTGCCTTCAAAAGCTCACAATCCTGAGCCATGCAGAACCACAAAACTGTAGTTGAAAGTGTCCTCTGGTGACCATCTAGTCCATGAGTGTACAACCTTCTGGCTCGCCTGGGCTGCGTATATGTAGTTTGATTTGAAAGTAATCCCTCCTGTTTACTTCCATGGAAACTACAACAGATACAAAGATCATAGTAACACTGCATATTAGAGCAAATTCTCTAGAAAACACCATTTTTCCAATAGTCACCAGTGTTAACTATACATTTTCAATAGCAATGCTTAACAGCTTGCATGCTGAGCTTGTAAATGTCTGAACTTTGCAGTCACAGCAGAAGTGACCCACAGTTGACATCATTACTGTTGATAAACACTACCTACTATCTCACTGTGCTCAAATCTACCACCTGGTCTCCATCAATGTTCAATAAGCTTCAATGAATGTCAGTGAGTGCTATTTTATCCTGCACAGAGGAATTCAGTGATACACCTTTGATTCAGACACACGTCAGATGCCATTTTGTCAGATCACCTCTACTGCTATACTGTCAATATTCATCTCTAATATTGTGAGCAATCATCATACATTAGAAGACATTACTTGCGGAGCAGCACTCATTTCTTGAGACAAAATTAATTCCCTAGGCATCAGTTGATATCGTAGGAAAAAGTAATTCAATAACACCTGTCCAGAATTTTTTTTTTTTTTTAAACTCACTGTCAAGTCTTTTGACATCAAAGAAAAGGTAATACACAACTAGTGCAGAAACAAAGGTTTTTTATTTATTAGGATATGTCTTGTAGTGATTGGAGAAAATGGTGGTTCTTTTGGTTACAGAGATGATTAAGGCTGTGCATAACATTTCACAGATGCAGTAAATTAGAACTGAATTTCTGCTTTTCTGTGTGGGAAATAATGTGAAGATAATTGGAACAAGCCAGTGTTGGTGCACCTGTATGCAGGAAGGAATCTACTCTATATGAATTAATCCAAGAGAAGATCAGCATATACTGCTTACATAGGGAAAAAGAGAATGCAGAAGTAATAGGAAATTCATTTGAAGAGCGAATAGACAGAATACACTGTAAATGCATGAAAAAAGCAAGCTACAGGACACAATGCTACATATTGTAGCTTTCACAGCCCCTATTAATATAGATAAGGAACAGAATCAGGAGATTTTTTTTGGTAGCAAAACAAATTAACATATCGATTCTTTCTATGTTTATTATGTTCTTCGTAAAACTGATAGAAAGGTTGTTTTAGTGAGATGGTTTGCTCTGTTTTGTTGTTGTTGTTTTTTCCCTCCTCAGCAAGACTACAATATAGTTTACTGGTGACTGTTGGATCAATAAACATTACATTTTTTTTCCACTTCAGAATGAGAAAAAAAGTAATAATTTTAATTTTACTTATAAAATGAAACTATAGATAAGAAAAAGATCTCAGAAAAATTTTTGAAGCATACAACTTTAACAAAAACAGAACACAAATGGAAAGAATCAATTCAGAGTCACACTTGAATCAAGTACCTATATCTCATGCTTTCTAATATCTTAAAAAGAAAGTGTACATAACCATAACATAACGCTTTTATAAGCTATTCCTGTTTATCTTAGCTTACAAAAGAATACCATTACCACTATAAGAGGCTCTCCAGAAAAATACTTTGTGTTCTTATTACCTACTTACCTCACCAGTGAAAACATCTTCAAAAGAAAACGAGAACAGCAGAATCTTAAAAAAATAAAAAGATATTTCATCTATCACTGCTTTGACATAAATTCTGAAAATCTACTATCACGCCTTTTACAAGACTACTGAACAAAAATCCACAAAATCTCCATAGTAAAATACCCACATACCTCATCATCATCATCATCATCAGTCACCTAAGAGCCCTTATCCAGAGTTTTTTTGTCACTAGCTAAAAAGACAGTGTACTTATAAGAGTTCTTCTAATTAAGGATGATTAATAACAAACCTGTCTCAAACTGAGTGCACCTGGTTCAACAGCTGAGGCCAATTGATAACCTACCATACAAGCAGTGGGCTGAAAAAATACTCATACACATGTTAGAACATTTTTAAATAGGTCTAGTCCTGGAGGGAGGGTGGGTGTTATTCTTGATTGGGTCTTTTTTGTTGGTTTCTCAGGTTTGTATCATCAGTAACTTTGCTGATGGTGTTTATTGATTTTTCTTTTTTCCTGGTCCTTGATTTATCTGTTGAGCAAAATCAGATACAGTACTAATCCTTGGAGAATTCTAATAGCTCTATGCCTCCTATTGGATCCTGTACTGCTGTTTGTAATCCTCTGAGATGCCAGTCAGACAACTTCTACATCGCTATCTGTCCACTTGGCCAATATAAATGGGGCAGAATTTTCTTCTGCCTAGAATACTGAATAGCTGAAGAATTATTTGGGCACACCGAAGCGTAACTTGCACACCACAAGATACTATCCTAGAGCTCTGTCTTGTAAGCAGAGAATTTTTTGTGGATGAATTAACCATTAGTGTCTATCTTGAT